ATGTGGGACTCGATCCCGGGACTCCAGGACCATGACCCGAGCCGAAGGCAGTCGCTTAACCAACTGAGCCACCCAGGCGCCCCGCAATAGGATATTCTTAATATGTCTTTTTTTTTTTTTCCAAAAGCCACATACCTGGCTGATGAGGTTCCTCAGAGAGAGCAGACGTCCATGGATGGCAGCTTCATGCACAGGAGACCAATCAGACACAACATCTGCATGGAAAGAGAGGAACAGGTTATATCCTGCTAACGCGCTATAGACCCGAGGCGCATCCTCGCCCATCAATAAGAGCCCAAGGGGTCTTCCTGGATGGAGACATTGGAGTCAATCAGCCAAGACTCCCATGAGCCCTTCAGCATTTCCCCCTTCTACTGATGCTCCCAGTACACATTTTATGTGAAATGTCGAGATAGCTAAAGAACGAACTCCAGCCAGTCTCCAAACTGAGGACAAAAGAGGTAGATTGGGATGACTGACCACTGGACTTCCATTTACATACTGGTTTCAAAGGCAAAGGGTCCATTTCGTTAAGTGAGAGCTTCACTAATTACCAGCATTAGCGTGTTAAGCTGTGGTGGCCAGTCGAGCTTCCTGCATGAAATCCGAACTTGGTATCTCGGCAAACAGCGCCATATACTAATAGTGGTAATCACATCATTACATACACCATTAGGTTTGAAATCAGATCTAAACAGAACCATATCTATTTATGGACTATCTTCTGTCCCAATATCAAGCACAAAGTAGAGTTCAGTCTAACCTTGTAACGGGGACATTATCTACCCCAAAAGGAAGCACGCCAGTGTGGTTGAGAGAGCTCTGAATTCAGACCCGCTTGGCTGCTTCTGAGCTGTGGGTCCCTGGACAGGCTCTGAGCCTCAGTTTCCTTCCCTGTCATGTGAGGACAGCAATAAACTTACCCACAGCTCAATACCTATTAGCTACTATCATTACCCTGCCCTACCATTAAGCAGAGTCTTGATTATACCCCACCATCACTGCTATTTCAAACAGCAAATGTATTCTACAACCATATAGGAAGAATACACATTCTTCAGAAGGAAGCCTGTAAACCCTATCCCAACATATTAAATGGTTTCCTCTCTCTAATTGAACGTGGAGGTAACCCGAATGAGGCAGAGACCTGATTTTCCTCTTCTCAAGCTGTGTCTGATTTCCAGAACAAACACAGGAAGTCAGAATGTGACAAGGCAGAATGGTCTGATAGCAGTCACGCCTCCTAAAGGAACCGGTGTGTCTCCTAAAACCTACGGAGACCTGGGCAACGAGGGCAGTTACTACCGCCTTACCAACCAAAAAAGCCAGAAAGGAGGAGGCTAGGACATTTTGTACTTAACACGCGTTGGCTGAGGTCTGCCTTGCTATCTGGAGCTATCAAGGCCCTGGATGATCTGTCCCAGGGAGCAAATTACTATCCTTCCAGATGGATTCATGAAGCATTTATAGGTAAGAGGAAGCTGAACAAGCCTACCGACATGCAGTCCATCCAATGCTTTCCTTCTGGGGTCACTACGAGTACCTTACGTGAAATGGCTTGTCCTACCTCCAAAACCTTGTGCTCAATAGAAACTTGATGGCCTCGCAGCATTCTCTGAGGTTCCTGATTCTCTCAGGAAAAAAATATTGCTGTTTCTAGGGCTTGGAGCCTACCCTCCAGACTACAGATACGGAAAGATCTGTCTCCAAGTTAGAATTAAAAGGACAACTAATTCTGCACTCTCAGAGCTAATGCAAAATACAATCCACACAAAATCTTGAGTGAGAAGGAAGAGCCAAAAATTAAGGTTTTGAAAATCCGTTTTAAAAGAAATTTGCAAATGGTACCTGAATGGATCACCATGTGCATGATGATTAATCCATTTCTCCTTCCAAGTGTTCAGCTGGTAAGAAACATACCTGGCACATTCCCCTTTCTTAAAGGGACCTCGGATAATTAGAGTTGACAGCCTAAACAGTCCGGGCAGGTAATTTGGTTCCTAAATTGTAACTCTGTTCAGATTTCATAAAAATGATGCAATTATATTATCAACTAGAGACAAAAATGGGCTTTACTTTCTATTCCTTCGTCTTGAAACCATTACTCCTTCCATTTACAGTAAATAAAGAATTGCGTACTCCTTTAAGAGGAATAAAAAAGGGGGCGCCTGGGTGGCTCAGTCGTTAAGCGTCTGCCTTCGGCTCAGGTCATGATCCCAGGGTCCTGGGATCGAGTCCCGCATCGGGCTCCCTG